AGGAGAAAGACCCAGTGACCTGCTCCGGTAAAGATCACAGCCTAGAAAACCCCACAGGGCAGTTCTGCTCGGTCTCATGAGGTTGTTATGAGTTGAAAATTGACAGATGGCGCCTAACAACAAGAAGTTGATTTAAAATAACAGAAGGAAACAGAAGGCTCAGAACTAGAAACAGCAATTTTTATTTGGTTTTGATCCAAAGAAGGTAAGAAAAATTATGTAGTCTGTACAAGTAATACAAAATAGAAGGCAAAAAAGACAGACTACTTTCTGGGACAAACTAAGTTTTGATAGCCTGAAATGAACCACAAAAACGTGACGAGGATGTTTTCTGTTAGGCTTATTAAGAATCATTAATGGTAAATTTTTGTGTTTTATTGATACCAAGTAAAAGGGAAACTTAAAATGTTGTGAAAGAAGATTGAGTATTGTCTAATTCTTTCTTCCATTTAAAAGACTGAATATTAATGAGGTAATAAAAGGGATGGCCCTAAGTCTTTTCTCTGGTGTTATATTTCAATATAAAGAAAATTTAAGATACTTGTGAGATAAAGGGAAGTGTATGTGTTTAGTAAAAAAGAAAAAGTAGGGTAAATGAAGCTGTTTGAAATGTATTAAATAAGAGAAATTAAACAAAAAAAAGGAATTAGTGTTATAAATCAAAGGAAAATGGCTGATCTTTAACAAAGGTGGGCCTATTTCAGCTGATCTTTTAAAAACACTTTTTAACGTTTTGTTTTTTGAAGATAATGGTTATTATCTACCATACTACAAGAGGGAGAGGAGCAAACGGAGCACGCAGATCACAGTCAGATTTCTTGACAACCCAAATTACAACAAGAATATCCGCAAAAAGGATCCTGTCCTCCTCTTACACTGGTGGAAGGAAATAGTTGGAACTATTCTGTTCTGTATTGTGGCTACAACTTTTATCGTGCGCAGACTTTTCCATCCTCATTCACACAGAGTAAGATGCTTTCTTAGAATCTAATTTATTTAAGTTTTCACATTAAGTAATTGTTGCCTATACTTCTGGTTCCACTTCCTCACCTCACATTCACTACTTAACTCACTGCAATTGGACTTCCAGCCCTACCACTCCACTGACGCCGCTTTTATCAAAATTTTAGATTATCTTCTTTTGTTAAATTTAATGGACATTTTCTCAAGTCCTTGTCTAACTAAAACTTTTAGTATTTGACAGTAGCAAACACCTCCCTTTGACCTATTTTTAACCAGCTTCATTGACACTGTGCTCTCCTGCTTTCCTTCCTTGGCTTGATGTGTATTCTTCAGGACCTTCCTCCCTCGTTAACATCAGTATTCTCAAGGGTCCTTTCTTCTCTTTGTTCATTCCATAAACTCTCCTTGTATGGTCTCACCTGCTTTTCCAGCTCCATCTTACATAGTAACGCAACAAACAACGCAACACACTGCTGTCGAGTCAGATCTGACTTATAGCAACCCCTCCCTGGGTTTCTGAGGCGGTATCACTATGGAAGTAGATTGCCCAACCTTCCTTCCAAGGAGTGTGTTTGAACCGCTAGCCTTCTGGTTAGCAGTCAGATACCTTAGGCACTACACCACCAGTACTGATCCCAAAATCCATTTCTTTGGACCAACTGCCTAGTAGGTGCTACACAGATACATTAAAAGAGACATGTCTCTCAGAGTATACCCATTTCTACCTTATTCCCTGTTATCCTGGTATTTTTCTCTCTCAGTGAGCTATACTGGCATATCCAGTTACCAAAGCCAGAAATCATTCTTCTCTCCCTTGTCTAATCAGTCACCAAGTTCTATCAAATTCTTCTTAAATAGCTTCAATTTGTCTTCTTTTCTAAATCCCACCTTCCATTTTCCTAGCACAAACACCATCAAATCTCTCATAAGTTTTTAAAAACCCATTAACAGGTATCCATGTTCTGGTCCTCTCCTTATCTCAAACCTGTTCTCTACATACCCTGACTCTTGAACTGTGTTTCCTGGCTTAAAAACCTTTATTTATTTATCTTTTTATTATTTTTGCTTAAAAACCTTCAGTAGTTCGTGCCCGTTGCTCTTAGGATAAAGTCTGTGTTCTTGTTGTAACATACGAGGTTCTAAATGATCTGTCCCTGCCAGCTCATCTCTCGCCATTGCCCTAACCACTTTCTCCCCTCTCCTTTGTGCTCTGCCACTGTGCTGAACTTCCTTCAGCCTTGTGAAGTGTCAGGCTTTCTGATAGGGCTCATCCTCTGACCTTGCCTCTAAACCTTGCTGCCTATTTCTTTTCCCTTTGTCCTCACACTGTTGACTCCTGGACATTGTTTAGTTTGAAATTTGTTGTCATATACTTTAACCTCTAATTCTGAGCTAGATTCCCTTCCTATGTCTTAGAACACTCTCTGCTCTCCTTACTGACATGTGTAATAGGTGATTCCTAATTACTTTTCTCTCTGGGGCACTGGACTATGCATTCTTGAGGACCAGGACCAGGTCTGTCTACATTGTTTATGGCAGTCTCTCCAGCCTCTTACACAGGGCCTGGCACACAGTCCTGCTCCTTAAAGATTTGTTGAAGGAATCATTAGCTAAGCAAATGGCTCACAGTATCCCCTTTCGACCATAGTAATTATTAACATCCTCTGGTAATTTTTTAGGAGATGTTGGTAAAGAGGCGTTGCAAATGAGGTGCTAAATTCACTTTCCTGTTGTTGAAAGCATTTTTTTTTTTAAATAGATAATTTTCTTCTTTTTCAGATGCCTCTCTGTAGTTACCTCTTCCCTGTGTCCTTTGTTCCCTGCACTCCTGCCCCCTGAGCTATCCACTTGTACAAATACTGCCCTTCTGTTCTCCCATGACTAATCAGTCTAAGGAGTGTATCCACCGGGTGTAAATGTTCACCCTATATGCCTGTCTGTTGTTTGGCTGGAGTGAGTTATTAGCTTATTAGCTAACTTGTCTTTCTCTTTGTTCTTCTGCTTCTGAAAATTATCAATTTTATTGGTGTACTTTTCCCTATCTTTCTATCTCTTATTCCAGACAGAATAAAAATGAAATAAATAACTGAGGATTAAGCACAATAGTGAGTTCAATTCCAGGACTACAGAAAACATTTTTAAAGCATCTACAAGACTGGTTAGGAATGAAATCATTCTGCTCTTGTCTGGGAGTTTGCACTCCTACTTACGTGTGGACATAGTCTTTTTCTTCACACCTAGCTGTATGTTATACTGTATGTATAATACACCCACATTCATAAAGAAACAAAATCCTCTCAAACAGGGAAAGATAAACTTTTTTCTTTAAAATAATTAATGGAAATTGTATTTTGTGCCTTTGTAATGCTTTATTTTTCTCAGTGTTATTTTATAACCTAAGATTGTTAGCTGACTTCCATTCAGCTTTGTACTGGTGGTGATTTTTGTTTTTTTCCACTTTACTAGCAAAGGAAGGAATCCGAAACTCAATGTCAAACTGAAAGTAAATATGATTCTGTTAGTGGCGATACCAGTGACAACAGTTGGAATGACATAAAAAATTGTGGATATGTATCACGGTAAGAGTCTTATCATAAAATATAGGAGTATGTTATAGATTCTGCTGACAACCGGTTGAATTACAGATGTGATTTCTAAACTAAGATCATGTTAACTCTTTATTTTTTTTTTAAATGTGTGAATACCTGGGTAAATAAAGCATAGGCTTAACTTCCAGTAACTTTAATTCATTCAAAGTGTTTTGTACCATAACAACAACAACAAAACCCACAAACCCACTGCCATCAAGTTGATTCTGACTCATAGCAACCCCTGTTGGGTTTCTGAGATGGTAAATCTTGACAGAAGCAGATTGCCCCATCTTCCTTCTGTGGAGTGGGTAGTGGGTTTGCATTGACAACCTTCTGGTTAGCAGTCAGATGCCTTAGGTACTGTGCCATAAAAGGTAGAAATAAAATGTTAACAAAGTTTAAAATTTCAGCTGCCAAAGTAAGGTCTTATTTAGATAACTTAGTAACTAAGAGTCTACTATGTACTGTGCTTGGTATAATAGTACCAAATAATAATTACTATGTTTATTGGAGTCTAATATTTGTCTCCATATGTTGCTTAATCTTCAGTTATTTATTTCATTTTTATTCTGTCTGGAATAACAGATAGAAAGATGGGGGAAAGTACACCAATAAAATAGATAATTTTCAGAAGCAGAAGAACAAAGAGAAAGATGGGTTAGCTAATAAGTAGCAAACCAAGAAAACCAAACTCACTGCCGACAAGTCAGTTCAACTCCTTGGATTGAATCCTTGGATTTCCGAGGTGATATCTCTACAGAAGTAGATTGCCCAATCTTCTTTCCAAGGAGTGGGCTGGTGGATTTGAACCTCCAGCCTTCTGGTTAGCAGTCAAATGCCTTTGACACTATGCCACCAGAGCTCCCAACAAATGGTAAAGGCTACTTTAATACTCTTGCTAATAAAGATGCTGACTAATACTCCATTGGTCATCAGCAGCAGAGGCATGGGAGAGACAGAGGGAACAAGGGGCCTGATGACTGCTGAAGCCATTTGTCGTTCATACAGCATTTGTTTTGAATAACTGTGTGCAGGACAGTATTTCAGGCTTTTAGAGGAAAGAAAAAGTTTGGCCTATCCTGGAGGAGTTTAAAGTCTATGGGGGAAGATAACACTGGGTATGAACTGTGAGACAAGTGACTAAATCTGGTTGTTATGGCTCAAGGGGGCATCATAAATGAGCTCACATTTGAATTGAACCTTAAATTATGAGTGAGTAAGAGACAGGTGGAGACTAAGAAAGGAATGGAGTATGTTGAGTAAAGGCTTTTGTGAAATTGAATTAAACTTAAACCAATTTTCCTTTAACTTTATTCAGTATGAAGAGTACACCTGATTTTTTGTTTTGTTTTTGTTTTAATAAAGGAGCTTTTTGATAATAATAATAATCTAATCTTTATTGAGTACTTAATGTGCCCTAAGCACTATTAAGAGCATGAAGTCTGGATTCAGTAGTGAGTTTAAATTCCACTTTTGTCATTTATCAGCTGGGAACTTACACTAGGTAATACTTATATTTATGGAATCTACAATCATTATATAAGATGCTACTCTTTTCAAAAGATCTATCCATTTTTAGAGTGGGACAACAATGTGGAACAAAATTCAAAATCATAAAAAAAGAAAACTAGGTTTGCTGGTCTGATAGAGCCTGGTGAGACCCCTGAGACTATGGCCCCTAGTTATCCTTCAGATCTGGAACTGAACTCATTCCTGTGGCTTCCAGCCAAACAATAGACAGGCACATAGGGTGAACATTTACATCAGGTAGATACACTCCTTGGAGTAATTAACCAATTAATCAATTGTGGGAGAACAGAAGGGCAGTGTTTGCACAGAGAGACAGCTGGGGGAGGGGGCAGGAGTGCATGGGAGGGAAGGACACAGGGAAGAGGTAACTACAGGGAGGAAATGGGAAGACAGCTCTTACATTTTGGGGAATTGCAGTCAATGTCATGCATACAGTATGAACTACTGTATGCAGAATGAATTTGCTCTATAAACTTTGACCAAAATCACAATAAAATTTATTTAAAAAAAAAAAAAAGTAATGAGAGCAAAGGTGGAGATATAGTTGAAATAAGATCATCTATGATGTTTTTTTTTTTTAAATCTATCCATTTTCATATGGATGTTTCTCTTAATATAAGAATATCATTCGTCTGGCCCTTCAGGAGCAGGACATGAACTTCATGGGCTTTTGCAGTTGGGGAGATGGATTTGTACTGTGGTACCGTGACTAGCTATTTATAGGGATATAGGTTATTACTCTTCATTCTCTGTGAAGGTAATTGGCCCTTGGAGGGTTTAGATCTGTTGTTACTCTTCCTTAACTTCATGTTTTAACCAGCTGAGCCAACTACATCTAAATTGAGTGTGCAAATCATAAAGTAAGGGTCACCAGAGATAATGTCGTTCTGCTTCATGTGGCTGGAGTATCATCTACAGCATGTTGTTGTTGTTGTTATGTGCTGTCGAGTCGGACCTGACTCATAGTGACCCCTCCTTGCATTTCCGAGGCAGTATCACTACGGAAGTAGATAGCCCAACCTTCCTTCTGAGGAGTGGCTGGTGGATTTGAGCCACTAGCCTTCTGGTTAGCAGTCAAGTGCCTTAGCCACTATGCTACCAGAGCTCCTCATCTACAGCATGGCTGCATTTATTCAACAGACAATTGTTAGGCCCCCTATTTGACAGGTAGTGCCCAGGTCTGGAAATACAAGAGAAACAAGTACAGGGGTCTTAGAAGGTTTTATAGGAGTGGTAAGATAAACGGAATATAGGAAGAATAGTGATTCATTAAGTGCAAAGAGGAAGTGCTGTTCCATTAGAGCAGAAGTAGAAGCAGAACTCCTGAAGTTGTAAGAGAATGAGGTAGAGTTGGCTGGAATATCTAGTGCAGATCAGAGAGAGGAGGTCAGGGACCAAAGGAGAAATAGGCCACAGTGTGGCAGTCCATCTGTAAGTGGCAGATGGTGATGTAGGGTAGCTTCTGTCTGCATACCTGTAGTGATGAGCATACTGATGCATGAGGCAACCAGAAAAGATAGATTGTTAGAAAGATTTTTGACTCTGACTTAAAAAGTTCTTAAATACAATAGAAGTGATTAAATTTTTCCCATAAAATATACAAGTAATGGCATAAAATACACTTTCTAATGTTGTTATGTGCTGTCGAGTCAGCCCCGACTCATAGTGACCCCTCCTTGGGTTTCTGAGGCAGTATCACTACAGAAGGTGATTGCCCAACCTTCCTTCCGAGGAGTGGCTGGTGGGTTTGAACTGCCAGCCTTCTGGTTAGCAGTCAAGTGCCTTAGACACTACTACGCT